TGCGGTGCAGCCACGGGGCCCCGGCGGCTTTTGTTCGTGGCAGCCAGTTATTCGGAGAGCTCGCCTAAGCTGAGGGGTGGGAGGGCGAGGGGCCCCCGGAGAACAGTGCGGTGACATCTCGCAGGCACCGGGGTGGTAGGTGCGGTACAAGACCTGGAAAAACAAACCAACCGGAATTGAAACTCTCTTGTCAGGTGTCGAGATTTAACTATCGGACTGGATGTGACAGGCATATGATTAGGTTTAGACCCTTACGCTGTTTATATTTCTAGCAGAGAGCTAGTCTGTATGGTGCTTCTATCTTCTGTTTATCACAACATGGACTATTTGGCATTTTAGTGAATGAGCTGGTTAAATGGCAGTAGCTGAACAAATTGTGACCTTCACCTTTGACTACCACATTTCTAGAGTCCTTATAGGAATTTATCCATAAAAGACAGATTAATGAGGTTTGAATTTCATTGATTCATTACTATTAATGCTGCTTATAGTGAATGTATTATGTTCTCATTGCTTTATGTCTTTGTATAAAGGTTGTGATCTTGGAATATTTAAGAATCAGTATTTCCAGAATGCCATTTCTGATGTACAGTAGTACATCTTGTTGTATACTCCAGTTCAGAGGCTAAAATGTCTGAAGAATATCTCTAGTATGTAGTACCTGGTAACAGTGTAGACATTATCAAAGCAATGGTAAATCAGGATATATGTTGGTACTGGGGATATGGATTTGTTATATATAGTTCAGGATTACAGAATAACCAGACCTTCCAATATATGTAATTTCAAATATTAATCTCAAAACGCATTTGAGGTTGCATCTTGATTCCAGTTGTTCCTGTTCCTGTTAACTGCTTGTAATGTTTGTGGTTTTGTAGCTTTTGTTACTTCTATCCAAGGACAAACATAACTAACAACTGCTTTGAGCCTTCATGTTAGATTGTTCACAACATTGTCCTAGTTTAGGCTAGTGTGTTTGTCCCAGGTTTTAGAATCCTTCTGCTTGGATTGCGTTGGCACAAAATGGGCATACATTTGAATCCTACAGTGACATCTGAACTGGAGAGAGTGATTTTTTTTCTCTTGGGTTGTGGCTGGCTCAGTAAGGAGAGATTAATTTGGAAAGTTCTGTTTAAATATATATGGATTGTTGGTTAAATTAAGAGTCTAAACAAAGCAAAGGGCCTGAGTCATTATCAGAGAAGCTAAAATTTAATGACACACATTGAGGGTCAGACATTAGGGTCAGAATTATGTATGCCTAGGGATATTTAAATCCTAAACTGAACTATTGAAATAGTGCACCTTACATCACACCTTCCCTTTAAATTTAATCATAAGCTAACTTGAAGAATTTCCTTTAAAAGTTTACTCTCTTGTACCCATTTATATAACTTTCATTTTTACTTTGCCACAATTCCTCAATGTTTGTTACTTGAGTAAGTTGTAAGAGACAGCCAACTTATTAGATTTAATGAGTATTATTAGGAGAGAGATGATCAGATATCACGCTGCCACAGGACTTCTGATTACTACAATTTTGTAAAATAAGTTCATTTATCAGATGTCTCCTAGTACAGTATTACATTTCCTGTAATGTATATTTTGGTGAACAATAGATGAGGTAAAAAAATGTTTTAAGGATTGTACAGATCATTGCTGTATAGTAAGATTTGTTCCATGGTTGACAAAGTGTGTGTAATCCGCACGTGTGCATTCCCTTATATATTTGATTACTTCTGAATTGCCTATATGTATTTTCCTAGGGAACTTAAGGCTTCATGTTGAGGTGACTCATTTGTCCTAGGAATGATGTAGTGTGTCTCTATCTCCTCCAAGCAAATCTTTGATCCTAAGCTAATCAAATGGACAGTACAGTGCTCTTGGAGACTATTTCTGTGTTTGAGACAGTGAAAACCAGCTATTTTATTAAAGGAAAATGGACATTAGGATTGATTCACCTGAGGGGAGACAATGGCAAATGTCATTTTTTTCTTGAAATGTATTTTGATGGCCAGTCAAGTATACTTAGACATTTTTTTCCCGTGGGTTTATTTTAAAATCACATAGATATGTGTATTGATACATTCAGGCCCAATTTAGAAGGATCTTTGCTCAGCCCTTTAAGATAAAACGTTGTGGTCCATAATCCCATCCCCCAAAGTAAAAGGGCTAGGCCTAGCCTCATATTTCGCATAACAGCATGTTATTAAACATCATGATATTATGTCCATGGCTCCATGAGACAACCCTAGCAAAATGCAGAACCCATGTTTAACTCTAGACGTAGTCTTTCATTTCGCAAGCCTGCAAGCTCCTGTCTATATACTACAAAAATAATCTATGGGTAACAGTAGGCTTCAGTTACAGATAACTAAAGCTCTGCATATCTGCAGATATCTGTAGGTATTTGCATCCATGAATGTGGGTATCCACAGCTCATTTTTGCAGATATGGATGCGGATACAAAATTTTTGTATCCAAAACTCTGCAAAATTTGTGATTTGCTTTATATCCGCAGATTTCTGTGTCTGCGGGTGAGAGTGTGGATATCTGTATCCACAAAAATGAATCACGGATGTAAATACAAATTTTGTATCTACCCAGGGCTCTCTACATATAACTCATGGCCTCAATCAACTATGATTGCAAATGGCTTACCTGCAAGTATACTCAGAGCCATTTTAACATTTGGGTCTCGAAAATGGATTGGCCCTGTCTACATTAGTGACCAAATTATTCTCATTCCTGAATTGATTTGATGTAGGGAGAACTCCTGATGGATACAATTTGTCACCCCCTGGTCGTTTGCAGCCAGGTTTAAGTGACTGAAAAGATAACTCAGTGGAAAGGGGTGCTTTAAAGCATGTCTTTCAAAATTTGTAGGATTTGTTTTAAAAAAATGCACATTCTCCATTGTGGTTTTTAGAGGAGAAGAGACTGAAAAACAAGACAGAACAATCCCAAGGGTAAAAGGGCATAGAACCTCTAGCCTCCTCCTGCTCAAGCAGAGTGATGGAGAAATCCGTTCTTCCTGTGAAAATACCATTGGAAGTATAAGGACATAGAACTAGAGTTGAAGTGCATTTTTTAGGAAAAAAGTATACAACGCACAGGGAAAATGTAGATCTGTTTAAAATGCAGTCACCATTTTAAATAACTATATGAATATGATATTTTCCTTACTTATGAACTGACATACGGTGCAAAGCACATCAACACACAGAGGAAGATGATATCCCTGTGTCAATATAGGTTGAGTGACCTTAAGGAGGTTTCCTAGAGCATCTTTTGGGGAAAAAATGCATAGTATCTGAAAGGATGATTTTATTGCCATGGGTTAGAAGTTGAGGGTTTCTTGTAGTAATTTGCCAAAATTTGGAACAGTTATTTTCTGTGTGAGTTCCTGAGGAATCCAAGTTTCATAATTCCTGGTTTCTTTGCCAGAAGATGTGACATCACAACCACTGTAAAAGTAGTTTGAAAATGGCCTAGTCTGTTACTGTGTTTATCTACATACAGATGCCGCATTGGTTTAACTAAAATTGTTTGAAAAATTGATTTAAAGTAGTGTAAACTCCTCTGTGGGCACACTTAAAATAGATTTATACTTATTTTGGTTTAACTTTTTGCCACTGATTTAACTTACATTTAAATTATATTGATTTGAAAAAACAAATCTGGGTAAAACAATAGGGGCTTAAATTGCCAATATTCAAACACATTGGCATTTAGAGGAAAGATGTTTAGGTTTGGTTTCTAAAACAGGGAAAAAAAAACGCTTAGTCCAGAGTAGAGCATCCACACGTGGAGTTATTCTGAAATTCTTGTTCCATTTTCAGTTTACTTTCTACCTTAGGTCTGGTCTACATTAGAGACTTACATCAGTATAGGTATGTCTCTCAGGGATGTGAAAAATCCATAACTTGCTCTACTGACCTAACCCCGGTGTAGACAGTGCTAGGTTGACAAAAGAATTCTTTCGTGTACCTACTGTTTTTTGGGAAGGTGTGTTACCTTCAGTGACTGGAGAAACCCTCTCATCGGAGTAGGCAGTGTCTGTAGCGCTACTGCAGTGGAGCTATAGTGTTTTAAGAGGGGTCATGCCCTTAATCTGGAATAATTGTCATGTGTAGAAAACTCCTAAAATAGAAGGGCCCAACTAGTCACTGAAGGTGATGGTTCATTAATGTGAATGAGCAATAGCTCACACTTTTGCCTCTGGTATTGTTTGGCTCTAGGCGGTTCTATTCTGAGTTGGTTAATAGGGCATCAGCAGAGAATTTTAGATGGTGAGTGAACACTATCTTCTACGAGAGAGGAAAACTAGAAGCTGAATTTAATTTTACTTTTTAAAATAAAATGGAAGCTTAGATTCTGAGGAAAGAAGCAAAAATCACAAAACTCTAATGTTATGACCCTTGCAATTTTCCATGCCTGTAACTTTCTGTTGACACTGACCATAACTATCTATTCTGCAGCCATGAAGATTTTTTTGTTATAGTAAGACAGAACGCGCATGGTGAGGTGTTCTCTCAAATCCCTTCACAGTTCTGTGAAACAACTACATATGAAGAACATATGAGATCATTTAAATCTTATTTTAGGGTCGGTTTCTCATGACAAGTATGTGAATAATTTCTGTGAATGTAATTAGGCTTTAGTTGTACATCTGTAATGTTAAATCGTATTTTAAAAAAGTCTTCTGATCTTTTACGTAGATTTGAGAGTTTACCTAGAGTTCAGCTTGACACACAACATCAGTGTGTTGCATTCTCAAAGTCCATCATATTGGATTTTTATTTTGTTTAAAAATGACTGGAAATTTCAGTATTTTAAAATTTAAAAAATGGGTGAAAATCAGTAACAAGTGAAAGGGAGGAATGGCAGATGCCCTGTACTCATGCTGGCTGGGGATCGGGTGCCTGGTACACACAAAGGAGTTGATGAATGGGGTGGTGAGAGGTGCATTGTGGGGAGAGGGAGGCAGGAGCAAGGTGTGTCTAGTACTTACCATGGTGCAGTTGAAGAAACCTGCTTTCTGTGGGCCTATTGTTGCAGCAGTTGGGTAGTCTCTACTGCCTGGCTTCCTACCCATCTTGCTCTCTCTCGCAGAGCAACAGTTATCAACTGGATGCTACCCTCTTCTGCACAGGCGTGTGGTATCATCCGGCAAATACTTCGAAAGGGGAACTGAACCACCATCTCTTCTGCAACGGGGAACTGGGTCTGGGGCGTTCTGGTACTTCAAAAATCCAAGGGGCATGGGCGTCTGGTATTCTAGGTGGGGGTCCCAAACCACCAGTTTGACCCTGCCCACGCTCCGCCCCCAGAGCACCTGCTGTAGGCATACTGGGGTGGAGCGTTATTGCCCCCAGCGCCTGCCCTCCCTAGTGCTCTGGGGTCAAGGTGGCTGGGGCCTGTGCCCATTCTCTCTCCCTTCTCTCCCTGTGGTGGTGGTGGTGGTGGTGGGGCAGGGAGGCGAGGCACCTTGGCTCTTGTGGGGGGGTAGGGCCTCAGACGAAGGTCAGCCTACCTTCACTGACCGCCCCTGCCAGGGAGAAATTGAAAAGATCCAGAAAAGGTATTTTTACACTTGGGAATTTGGGCAGAAAATTGGGAAAAAATCAAACCCAAAGTGCTTTAGTTATACTGTTGTTCTGACAACACTACCTCATTGAGAAAAGAAGTCTTCAGCTTCTCCCTTATCTTAACTAAATGTAAAAATTCCCTGCATTCAATAGCCGGTCTCCTTTGGACCAGCATCTCTTATG